CAGTATGCTGCAGATATATTCTTTGGGCTTCAATTTCTTTGGGTTGAGTTATCAAAAGAACTACTCCCCTCCCAGAGCCTGTCCTCTGGAGTTGCAGTTGCTGGTTCAGGCACCTATTGAGTGTGACGTGTAGACCTCACTTGGTAGAATAAAATGTGGAGACTTGAGGTAGATGATGGACTAGCGGTAGATGACTCCGCCTGTGGCTTTCACCTCCAAGAAAGAGATGCTAGGTCTTGGAGAAGCTCCAAACTCAGGAGAGAGTTGGGGTTTCTCCTCATAATTGACCAAAGACATGAGGCCCATCTATAAACAGGTAGCAAGAAGGGTCTGCTCACTTCAGTCTTTTTCTGTCTTCAGGAAAATCTACCAAGAACTTTCTTCATGAAGCTGAGGCTGAGAAGGACCATCTGTAAGAAATCTGAGGAAAGCCTAGATACCTGCCCCCTTCAGGACAGTCCTTAACTGGACAAAGTAAGGCAAGATACCAGCCTCAACCCCTTTCACAGTCGTGGGTGCTGCCAGGGGATAGAGGAGATGCAAGAGCAAATGACAGAGCCATGCTTAGAGATCCAAGGAGAGACCAATGGCAAACTTCCCAGAATCCCTTTCTAAACCTTAATAGGGAAAGAGTCCCAAAAGGCAGGCAGCATAGGTACAAGCTACAGAGACCTGGCCAAGCTTTGCCCCCAACTCTGCCTACTGCCAATAGTAGCTGTCTGTTCCTTGCACATCATGGTCTCATAATGTCTGTGTCTTCTTATGTCCTGTATCCCGGACCTGAGTAACAACTGCTCACTGTTTGGTCATGATCCTCCTCTTCTGGACTCAGAGGAAAGAGCCTAGTAAATGCTGATGTTATATTAGGAACCCTTCGTTGGCATACAGCTTGAAAAGGTAGTGAGAGAAGGGGTCAGTCCCACTGTTTTCACTCCAGGATCTATGCCCAGCTGAAGCTCCAGAACCTTTTCTGATGGACAAAAAAAAGGGCAGCTTAATTCTTGGGACATCCCCACTTAGGGCTCATAGACCCCTTATCAAGAACAATTAATAGCTCAACTAATGACTTTAGTCTGACAGTAGTCAAGTCCTGGGACAGGGCATCCCCTACTGTTCCTAAAAGCTTGTATCACACAGTGAAAGTCCAGAAGTTCTTCCTGGGGCCGCTTATTAGATGAGGACAGTAACACAAATGCCTCTGGATCAGGAGGAAGCCCAGCCGCAGACAGCTCACCATTCAAGCAGAGTTTGAGTTGGCGGTTACTCCTGTAGATCAAAGATCAACGTCCTCCAGCTGCTGGACAAGAAAGGGATAAGGTTGAGTAGACAGTATCCTAACCATAAACCACAAGCTTCCTGAGCCTCCTCCATCCACTGTCCCATTTTGATTATTTCCTTAGCTCTCCATCTGCTCCTTCACCATCAGCAACCCACACTCAAAACAGTTCCACATGTTGGAAATGACTTGTTCTGAGAGGCTTACCATGACTGAGATCAACCACAAGGATCTACCCACAGCACTTGTCCCAAGCCTGCTCCTTTTTCTGAAGATATCTGCCATTCATAGGAAGCAGCAACTACAGGCTTAAGAAGCTTTGTGCTTCTTGCAAATGTTTGGGGTTTCATGTCTTGGCATTTTAGAAAATTCTCTTTGTACGGATTCATCATATAGAGTAGATCATTAAACACCAACAAGTAATAACCTTTGTGGGCTATGGGCATGAGAGTGGAAGCTAAGCACTTAACGGAGTTCTCTCAGCAAGATATCCTGGTGACCATAGTGGCATCCTCCATTTTTTTTTATATGTTGAGAGGTAGCCCACATAGCACAACTACATCCATCTGAGCTTGGTCTCATGACATGACCCATGTGGCCAGAAAAAAAAATGTTGGTCAGCACCCACCTTCTCTAGGGCATCCCATGCACACTAGGGAAGAAGGCAAGTCCCTGGCCCTTCTCAGGATAGATGATGTTTGCTCTTGAGATTCCCCACACACCTTTCCCCAGGTCTCTGAAGCTGATAGATAATGGGAGGACTAGCTTCTCTATCCAAAAAGAGATCCCCACACAAAGAATAGCAGCAGCATCTCCTTGACACTTAAAAATGAAGACAGCCCTAGGAGCTTCTGCCATTAGAAAAGGAGCAACATTTCACAATCTTCAGGGGGTACATTGTTATTAATATTTGAAAAATACTGATGAACCAAAGGCCACTACGTCCTATCGAAGGCACCTGAACCAGGGTCCAGCACACATTCCAAAGAAGTCATAAAATAACTATTCTGATCTTTTGGGGTAGCTAATATCCTTGCCAACTATCTTCATGTTATCTTTGTTTCTTAGGAATCATAAACTATGTGTAAACTGATGAGAGTAGCAGTGTCCCAATAAGACTGCTGAGAAGTAAGTGGTGACTGGTTTGGCCTTTGGCCATAGTTGCCCATCTCTGACACTGAAAGACCCTTGATGTATACCTGTGCCTGGTGTTTACAAGTACTGGTTCCATCTAAAGCACCTGCATCTCTCCAATCTGCCTCAGGGTTTAGCACCAAAAGAATTCCATCAGCAGGTCATTTGTATAACACAGGTGTACAGACGTCAAGTCTGGGGGCCACACAGCCCCATGGAAAAGGAGGCAAATATCAGCCTGCCCCCTTAAGGCCAACCAATTCCAAAGAAATTTTCATATTAATTGGCAAAGTTTTCCAACGGGATAAATCTCCATGAGCTATACTCTAGAATCTAGAAAGAGAATTTCATACACTCTATGTTAAATGACATGCTCTTTTCAGATAATACTTAAGATCCCTTTCCACGAGTATGTCTTCACTACTTTTCTATATCTACTGCAGTTGTTTGAATAAGAATGGCCCCCATAGGCTCATATATTTGAATGTTTAGTCACCAGGGGGTACAAATCTTTAATAGAATTAGAAAGATTAGAAGGTATGGCCTTGTTGGAGGAAGTGTATCACTGAGAGTGGGCTTTGAGATTTCAGAAGCCTATGCTAGTCCCAGAAGCCTATGCTCTCTCTGTCTCTCTGTGTGTGTCAGGATGTAGCTCTCAACTACTTCTCCAGCACCATGCTTGCCATGATCCCACCATGACGATAATGGACTAAGCCTCTAAAACTATAACCAAGCCCCCAGTTAAATGCTTCCCCTTATAAGAGTTGCCATGGTCATGGAATCTCTTCACAGCAATAAAACAGTGACTAAGACACCTACTAAGGAACTTTAGAAAGACTATCATTCCCTAGATTCTTACAACCCAATGATTATCTTTCTCCCACTTCCAGGCTACTAACAAGAGACAGGAAATTTTCATTTCATCAGCCACTAGGAATAGTGATCTTTCCACCCCACACACCATATTTAGAGTAGCCCATATTCAGGAAACACCCTAGGCTCAATTCAAACCACACCACAAGCAGCAGTTACTCATATGGAAAGGCATTGGTCAGGACTTCAGAAGGTTGCAGATGAGGAAAAACAACTCATCTAATGATAAGAAAGTCCCACCTATCACATAGTGCACATATAATCAAATATTTAGCCATTGCAAATATGATATATCTTCAGCTTCCTTCTTTCAGTTTGTAAAATCTTTTTGGTTATGATGCTTATGCTAGCTAGTTTTTTTGGGGGGGTTGGTTTTTTTGTTTGTTTTGTTTTGTTTTGTTTTTTGAGACAGGGTTTCTC